ATGATCTCCATGTATAATACATAAGGGGGAATATGATCTCCATGTATAATACATAAGGGGGATATGATCTCCATGTATAATACATAAGGGGGGATATGATCACCGTGTATAATACATAAGGGGGGATATGATCACCGTGTATAATACATAAGGGGGGATATGATCTCCATGTATAATACATAAGGGGGGATATGATCTCCATGTATAATACATAAGGGGGGATATGATCTCCATGTATAATACATAAGGGGAGATATGATATCCATGTATAATACATAAGGGGGGATATGATCTCCATGTATAATACATAAGGGGGATATGATCTCCATGTATAATACATAAGGGGGATATGACCTCCATGTATAATACATAAGGGGGATATGATCACCATGTATAATACATAAGGGGGGATATGATCTTCATGTATAATACATAAGGGGGGATATGATCTTCATGCATAATACATAAGGGGGGATATGCTCAACATTTATAATACATAAGGGGGGATATGATCTCCATGTATAATACATAAGGGGGGATATGATCTTCATGCATAATACATAAGGGGGGATATGATCAACATGTATAATACATAAGGGGGGATATGATCTCCATGTATAATACATAAGGGGGGATATGATCAACCTGTATAATACATAAGGGGGGATATGATCTCAATGTATAACACATGCTAACACCAACAATTGGGCACTATTCCTCCCACTGACACCATTGATGGGACACTATTCCTCCCACTGATACCAATGATGGGGCACTATTCCTCCCACTGACACCATTGATGGGACACTATTCCTCCCACTGACACCAATGATGAGGAACTATTCCTCCCACTGACACCAATGATGGGGCACTATTCCTCCCACTGGTACCAATGATGGGGCACTATTCCTCCCACTGGTACCAATGATGGGACACTATTCCTCCCACTGACACCAACAATGGGACGCTATTCCTCCCACTGATACCAATGATGGGGCACCATTCCTCTAACTCAGTGGTTCTCAACCTTTCTAACGCCACGACCCCTTAATACAGTTCCTCATGTTGTGGTGACCCCCAACCATAAAATTATTTTCGTTGCTACTTCAGAACTGTAATTTTGCAGTGGGAGGAATAGTGCCCCATCATTGGTGTCAGCGGGAGGAATAGTGTCCCATCGTTGGTATCAGTGGGAGGAATAGTGTCCCGCCATTGGTGTCAGTGGGAGGAATAGTGCCCCATCACTAATGTCAGTGGGAGGAATAGTGTCCCATCGTTGGTATCAGTGGGAGGAATAGTGTCCCGCCATTGGTGTCAGTGGGAGGAATAGTGCCCCATCATTGGTATCAGTGGGAGGAATAGTGCCCCATCATTGGTATCAGTGGGAGGACTAGCGCCCCATCACTGATGTCAGTGGGAGGAATAGTGCCCCATCGTTGGTGTCAGTGGGAGGAATAGTGCCCCATCATTGGTATCAGTGGGAGGAATAGTGCCCCATCATTGGTGTCAGTGGGAGGAATAGTGCCCCATCATTGGTGTCAGTGGGGGGAATAGTGCTCCATCATTGGTGTCAGTGGGAGGAATAGTGTCCCATCATTGGTGTCAGTGGGAGGAATAGTGCCCCATCATTGGTGTCAGTGAGAGGAATAGTGTCCCATCATTGGTGTCAGTGGGAGGAATAGTGCCCCATCATTGGTGTCAGTGGGAGGAATAGTGCCCCATCATTGGTGTCAGTGGGAGGAATAGTGCCCCATCATTGGTGTCAGTGGGAGGAATAGTGCCCCATCATTGGTATCAGTGGGAGGAATAGTGCCCCATCATTGGTGTCAGTGGGAGGAATAGTGCCCCATCATTGGTATCAGTGGGAGGAATAGTGCCCCATCATTGGTGTCAGTGGGAGGAATAGTGCCCCATCATTGGTGTCAGTGGGAGGAATAGTGCCCCATCATTGGTGTCAGTGGGAGGAATAGTGCCCCATCATTGGTGTCAGTGGGAGGAATAGTGCCCCATCGTTGGTGTCAGTGGGGGGAGGAATAGTGCCCCATCGTTGGTGTCAGTGGGGGGAGGAATAGTGCCCCATCGTTGGTGTCAGTGGGGGGAGGAATAGTGCCCCATCGTTGGTGTCAGTGGGGGGAGGAATAGTGCCCCATCGTTGGTGTCAGTGGGGGGAGGAATAGTGCCCCATCGTTGGTGTCAGTGGGGGGAGGAATAGTGCCCCATCGTTGGTGTCAGTGGGGGGAGGAATAGTGCCTATCGTTGGTGTCAGTGGGGGGAGGAATAGTGCCTATCATTGGTGTCAGTGGGGGGAGGAATAGTGCCTATCATTGGTGCCAGTGGGAGGAATAGTGCCCCATCGTTGGTGTCAGTGGGAGGAATAGTGCCGCATCGTTGGTGTCAGTGGGGGGAGGAATAGTGCCTATCATTGGTGTCAGTGGGGGGAGGAATAGTGCCCCATCGTTGGTGTCAGTGGGGGGAGGAATAGTGCCCCATCGTTGGTGTCAGTGGGGGGAGGAATAGTGCCCCATCGTTGATGTCAGTGGGGAGAGGAATAGTGCCCCATCGTTGGTGTCAGTGGGGGGAGGAATAGTGCCCCATCGTTGGTGTCAGTGGGGGGAGGAATAGTGCCCCATCGTTGGTGTCAGTGGGGGGAGGAATAGTGCCCCATCGTTGGTGTCAGTGGGGGGAGGAATAGTGCCCCATCGTTGGTGTCAGTGGGGGGAGGAATAGTACCCCATCGTTGGTGTCAGTGGGAGGAATAGTGCCCCATCGTTGGTGTCAGTGGGAGGAATAGTGCCCCATCGTTGGTGTCAGTGGGGGGAGGAATAGTGCCCCATCGTTGGTGTCAGTGGGGGGAGGAATAGTGCCCCATCGTTGGTGTCAGTGGGGGGAGTAATAGTACCCCATCGTTGGTGTCAGTGGGAGGAATAGTGCCCCATCGTTGGTGTCAGTGGGAGGAATAGTGCCCCATCGTTGGTGTCAGTGGGGGGAGGAATAGTGCCTATCATTGGTGTCAGTGGGGGGAGGAATAGTGCCCCATCGTTGGTGTCAGTTGGGGGAGGAATAGTGCCTATCATTGGTGTCAGTGGGGGGAGGAATAGTGCCCCATCGTTGGTGTCAGTGGGGGGAGGAATAGTGCCCCATCGTTGGTATTAGTGACACAAATGATGATGGGGCACTATTCCTCCCACTGACACCAATGATACTTACCTTGCTGACCCCTGCTCCAGCCTGGGCTCGCTCTCTCCCTCTCCCATCTACAGCCTGCAGAAGCAAAATTTGCACTTACCTGTCAGCTGTCTTCCTTCTCTGGCCTCTCTCCTCTTCACTCGGTCCTGCAGCTCCCTCGATCTTCTTCGATCTGCGCGCTCTGCCGCTCGGCTCCTCCTCTCCAAGCTCCACCTCCTCGCCGGTGATTGGCCGCCTGTGTGCCTCTCCTGAGCTACAGTTCCGGTGGCCAATCAGCGGCGAGGAGGCGGAGCTGGTGAGTGATCCCGGAGGTGTGGCCAGGTTACAGGGGCAGCATATCATCCCGCCCACAGATCGCGAGACAGAGCAGCGGTGTCTCGGTTCCTAAGACCATCGGAAATATGTGTTTTCCGATGGTCTTAGGCGACCCCTGGGAAATGGTCGTTCAACCCCCAAAGGGGTCGCGACCCCCAGGTTGAGAACCGCTGCTCTAACTGAAACCAGCAATGAAACACTATTCCTCCCACTGACACTATTCCTCCTTTTTTTGGTCTGCTGACCTATTTTAGATGTTATTTTAAATAAGGTTTGTAACATATTACACTCTGGGAGTCTTCTTGCTTGCATTTTCCATGTGAGGCATTGTGAGTGTTTGTCGGCACCGTTGGAGATGATCTTCGGCTCTCTGATTGTATCGAGGATCTTTCTCTTGGAAATCATCGTTTGAGGCTTTCTATGCTTTGTGACTCTTTGTGGGTCGAATTTTGAAGGGGAGCGCGCATGCTAGCCGGTGGAAGTTTTGTCCATATATGTTTTCAGTACTGGATCTGTCACGGCATGCACTGTAGATTCACTGCATTTATTTTCTGCATTCTTTTCTGATTTTTTGGGACTGTTATTTTCCTTTTACACATATATATATATATTTTTTTTTTTCGTTTTTTTATTTTTTGGGACTGAGTCACTTTTTGATGTTTTTGGAGTGAGTCACTTATCCATTATTTTTGATTGATTATTCTGGGACTGAGTCACTTTTTGTATATATTAGCCGTTGATTTATTCACTTGTGTCACTAGCACTTCATAGCCGGTTTGTTTGCGGCTGGCATTATCACTTATGAAGTATTTTTGATCATCTATTTTGGGATTAAGTCACTCTTTGTAGTTATTGTTTTTATTAACTTGTGTCACTAGTAGTTCATAGCCGATTTCCTGCGGCTGGCACTGTCACTTGGTATTTTTTGCACCACCTTACAAATTTATGTTATGTTTACACCTGATTGATGATATATTTTTATCTAGTTTATGTCATTCATTTTTCCACATATCAGTCACTTAGTAGCGCAGCACCCTGGTACCCTTTATTACAGTGACCTATAGCCACCACGCAGCAGCCATCATTCATTATTCTGACGATCTCATAAAAGCTGACATCTGATTGGTTAATATGAGTTCCTGAATTCTATACCATTGCTGCCCTGTCAACAAAAACCGATGGGTCTTAAAAATCCATAAGTGAAATAAATATCCATAAATGTAATACATATTATAAAATATAAGATAATATAATAGTGTCATAAATGATAAAATAATATTGAATATAAATAAATAATGATAAATTATATAATTAATAAAATATAATATCATAAATAATAAAGCAACCATATAACCAAATTAAATATGGAAAATCATAATATTGTATAATGTGATATATTATCATAAACAATAATATAATAAATAATATAAATGATGGAAACATCCCGTAAATGAATTCCTATTGGCATTGGACAGGTGGAATGTCCTTTGATGAAGTACCTGATATCATGCTGGGACATTTGGCTGTAAGGCAGGTTGAGCTTAACTATGTGATTGCTGACCAGTTCTTCCACGGAGGATTTAAAACCTTGCGTCTGCTGAAACCCTGGAGCAACCGTCTGCACAAAGGACCGCATGTCACTCACCAGCCACAAGACCTGTAGAAGACAGACAAGGAATGGGATAGCTGTGTCCAAGCTCGGGTGATTTTTCCACAGCAAAATGAATGGCCCCTGTTAACTAAAGGAAATAGCACCTTTGTGACTGGATCAGCTCAGAAGCCTTTTATTATTTATTATTTATTTCAGGTACTTATATAGCGCCGTCAATCTACGCAGCACTTTACATATATATATATTGTACATTCGCATCAGTCCCTAACCCTCAAGGGGCGTACAATCTAAGGTCCCTAACTCACATTCATAAATACACCTACTAGGGCCAATTTAGACAGGGGCCAATTCACCTACCAGCATGTCTTTGGAGTGTGGGAGGAAACTGGAGGAAACCCACGCAGGCACAGGGAGAACATGCAAACTCCAGGCAGGTGGTGCCGTGGTTGGGATTCGAACCAACGACCCTAGTACTGCCAGGCGGAAGTGCTAATCATTTATTATTTATTCCTCAATTGAAAGCTGCAGTTTAACTTTTTTTTTTAACTTCCCTGGTTCCTCCTTTTTACACTCAGCAACATGTTAATGACATTTAAATTTAGTGAATGAAAGGGCAGGCCAGGGACAGTAAGGCTAGGGAGGAAAGATCTAGGTGGATCCAGCCAGGAAATGAGTCAGGCTCTATCTGACTTGGTTCAGTAGAGAAGCCTGTAAACCAGTGCAAGACTGAACTCAAGTCTGGAGTTCTGCTTGAAATACGTTGATCCTAGCTGTAGATCAGATAATATGCCTTTTGGCTGTATCCATCTCCTCCATGCTTGAAGATGAGGAAACAATTTTGATTTTTTTTCCGATGTGCCCTTGGCTGCCACATGTTCTCCATGCTCCCCCAGTACCTGAAACATGAAGATATCTAGATTTCTGATTATGCCTCCCCCCTTGTGTCTTTCATTGGTGTTCTCTGTTTTATTACACATATAGAAGTACAGGCAGTCCCTCTCTGAGTCTCACTGGATACTCCAGCCACTGTGCAGGGAATAATGTGAACAAAATACAAGCTCATGTTTTTTTTTTAATAGCCCCGCCAGTCCCCTTCCTAGCCCCCTCAACATATTGAGGTGTCTCCCCCCTTCCCCACCCAACACACATGTCCGTTCTTGCCTTTCCCAAAGCTTGCTTCAGTTCAGTTGGTAAACATTTTGTGGTGGGCTGCCTGTGTCTGCGCACGCATGCCCACCACACTATATAGTGCAAGGGTCTGCCTGACTGGATACAAATTAATTTGATAGATTTGATTGGTGCTCATATTACATTGTTTTATTACATCTAAAGCTGGGTAATGCGTATGGTGATCCTAACATCCTATAGACCAGGAGTCTTCATTTAACGGAGGAATGATGTTCCATCGTTGGTGTCAGTGGGAGGAATGGTGCCCAATTTTGGTGTCAGTGGGAAGAATGGTGCCCCATCACTGGTGTCTGTGGGAGGAATGGTGTCTCATCATTGGTGCCCCATCATTGGTGTCAGTGGGAAGAATGGTGCCCAGTCATTGGTGTCAGTGGGAGGAATGGTGCTCCATCATTGGTGCCTGTGGGAGCAATAGTGCCCCATTATTGGTGCCTGTGGGATGAATGGTGCCCTATCATTGGTGTCAATGGGAGGAATGGTGCCCTATCATTGGTGTCAGTGGGAGGAATGATGCCCCATTTGGTGTCAGTAGGAGGAATGGTGCCCAATCATTGGTGTCAGTGAGAGGAATGGTGCTCCATCATTGGTGTCAGTGGGAAGAATGGTGCCCAATCATTGGTGTCAGTGGGAAGAATGGTGCCCCAAGCCTGGATACAGGCAAGCAAATATAGCCCGCAGGAAACAGTTAGCAGCCCACTGGTATCGACTTAAATGGGACATACCCGTACTGTGGGAGCAACAACGTCTCATTTAAATCTATAGGACATTAGTATGCTGGTGTAAGTACTTTAATAGGGGTACTAAGTAGATTTCCTTTTCTCCAATACTTTAATGCATTGTAATATTTCTCTTTCCAACACTCTGCATTCTGATAAGGTCCACATAGTGATTCCATGTGAAATATTACAAGCTAAGATAACTGTGCCTCATCCCTTCGTTTGTGTGTGTGTATAGTGTATGTATATATATATATATATACAGTGCCTTGAAAAAGTATTCATACCCCTTGAAATTTTCCATATTTTGTGATGTTACAACCAAAAACATAAATGTAATTTATTGGGATTTTATGTGATAGACCAACACAAAGTGGCACATAATTGTGAAGAGGAAGGAAAATGATAAATGTAAGTGTGGCGTACATTTGTATTTAGCTTCTTTTACTCTGATACCCCTAACTAAAATCTAGTGGAACCAATTGACTTCAGAAGTTACCTAATTAGTAAATAGAGTCCACCTGTGTGTAATTTAATCTCAGTAAAAATACAGCTGTTCTGTGAAGCCCTCAGAGGTATGTTAGAGAACATTAGTGAACAAACAGCATCATGAAGGCCAAGGAACACACCAGACAGGTCAGGGATAAAGTTGTGAAGACGTTTAAAGCAGGGGTAGGTTATAAAAAATATCCCAAACTTTGAACATCTCATGAAGCACTGTTCAATCCATCATCCGAAAATGGAAAGCGTATGGCACAACAGCAAACCTAACAAGACATGGCCGTCCACCTAAACTGACAGGCTGGGCAAGGAGAACATTAATCAGAGAAGCAGCCAAGAGGCCCATGGGAACTCTGGAGGAGCTGCAGAAATCCTCAGCTCAGGTGGAGGAATCTGTACACAGGACAACTATTAGTCGTGCACTCCACAAATCTGGCCTTTGTGGATGAGTGGCAAAAAGAAGTCCCGTTTGCAGTTTGTGAGAAGCCATGTGGGGGACACAGCGAACATGTGGAAGAAGGTGCTCTGGTCAGATGAGACCAAAATGTAACTTTTTGCTTAAAAGCAAAGCGCTTTGTGTGGCAGAAAACTAACACTGCACATCACCCTGAACACACCATCCCCACCGAGAAGCTGGTTAGAGTTGATGGGAAGATGGATGAAGCCAAATACAGGGCAATCTTAGAAGAAAGCCTGTTAGAGTCTGCAAAAGACTTGAGACTGGGGAGGAGGTTCACCTTCCAGCAGGACAACAACCCTAAACATACAGTCAGAGCTACAATGGAATGGTTTAGATCAAAGCAAATTCATGTGTTAGAATGGCCCAGTCACAGTCCAGACCTAAATCCAATTGAGAATCTGCTGCAAGACTTGAAAACTGCTGTTCACAGACGCTCTCCATCCAATCTGACAGAGCTTGAGCTATTTTGCAAAGAAGAATGGGCAGAAATGTTCCTCTCTAGATGTGCAAAGCTGGTAGAGACATCCCCAAAAAGACTTACAGCTGGAATTGTAGCGAAAGGTGGATCTACAAAGTATTGACTCTGGGGGCTGAATACAAATGCACTTTGAACTTTTCACATATTTATTTGTAAAAAAATTTGAAAACCATTTATCATTTCCACTTCCACTTCACAATTATGTGCCGCTTTGTGTTGGTCTATCACATCAAATCCCAATAAAATACATTTACGTTTTTAGTTGTAACATGACAAAATGTGGAAAATTTCAAGGGGTGTGAATACTTTTTCAAGACACAGTATGTAATACAAGAATTAATTTTCAGAAGTCATCTTACAACTAGCCATCATGACCTGTCTACACTGCATGGCCAGTATGGGGAACCCTCCAAATTACTGAGTTCAGATGTTTCCATTGAATTGAACTGTTAATGTCACATCATACATGGACATCTTAGACAGTTATACACTTCCAACCTTGTGGTAACAGTTTGGTGAAGGCCCTTTTCTGTACCCCTGTGTACAAATCCAGCTGCATAAAGACATGGTTTAATGAGTTTCCTTTGAAGGAACTTGAGTGTCCTGCACAGAGCCCTGACCTCAACCCTACTGAACTGAGAGATGAATTGGAATGTTGATCGTGACCCAGGTTTTCTCATCCAACATCACAACCTGACCTCACAAATGTTCTTTTGGCTGAATGGGCACAAACTCCCACAGACACAGTCCAACATTTTGTGGAACATCTTCCCATAAGAGTGTAGACCACAAAGGAAGTCACCTCCATATTAATGCCCATGGTTTTGGATTGGGATCTTCAACAAACTCATATAGGTGTGATGGTCCACAGTTATGTAGTGCAGAATTTCTCAATCAGGGTGCCACAACACCCTGGGGTGCCTCATGGGCTTGAATGGGGTGCCACACTGCATATTTTTGCACATTATCATGAGTTTCCATGGTGTAGAAGGGCCCGTTGGGACTTTTGATGTGGAAAAGAGGATAGACCAAGGGCTTTGATGTGAATGGGGAACCCTGATGTGAAAGGGGGCTTCTGATCGCCCCCCATTTTAGACAGGGGTGTCTTGATATTTTGCATACTTTTGAAGAGTGCAACGAATAAAAAAAAAAGGTTGAGAAACACATATATCATATATAAATACATGCACATACACATGAATTCATATACACACATGCACATGTGTACAGTATATCATGAGAAAATATCATGATATTCAAAGTGGAATTCTGCTTTCTTCTTATGACATTTCCTACCAGCTTGGGATCAATGGTGGTTTCATTGAGAATAACATCCAGGGTCCGATTAATCCAGGAATCTCTGTAGGGGTGATCTTTCGGAGGGCGGTACAGGTCAAAGAGCACCGTCTTATTAGCACGTTCTGCAAGCTTCAGGTAGTCACTCAGCTTAGGAATGGACTGGTTCCTGGCAATCTGCTGATCTTCTGCAGACAGAGAACCCATGGAGGAAAACGGTGGATTCTGGAGAACACAGAAATCATTCAATGAATTAAAAGATCACTATACCTTAAACAAAAACTTACAATCCAAGAGCTGCTACTAACATCCAGAGCTACAATAAGTACGAGAAAAGTTCATATCTGCACCTAAACCACAACTGGGCCTCACAGCCATTTTGCTTTGTGTTAACCAAAGGCCAAACAGGGTAACACAGTTACCTGATTCAGACAATTGACTGCTTTTTCTTTGTCAAATTTTGGTGAAGTTATCATTGTTTTGGCCCAAATGTTGCCATTCTGGAAAAACACAGTCAATAGGAAGGCAACATTAAGGAGGTTTTTAAAGGGTTCAATTGGCTTTAAAAAGCCAAAGGTGGGCAGGGGTGTCTTTTATTTTGTCTTTGAGGATTTTTTCACAATAAGAAAGGAAAGGATGAAAAAAAAAAAACTGTAAAGGGACAGAGGACCCCAGGGACTTTTAAAACAGAAACATAGAAGAACGATGGCAGAAAAAAGACCAAGTGGTCCATCAAGTCTGCTCTGTTCATATATGCATTGAATATATAATTTTTTTAAATTTAATTTTATTCTTATTAACTTTTTTTGTCTGAATATAGATCTATGTTTGGCCTATGCATGTTTGAATCCATTTACAAAATTTTTTTTTTGTTTCTTTTTTTTTGTGTATTTACCTTTTTGTGTTTTTTTTTATTTAACTTTTTTTTGTTTTACATAAAATGAATTCAAAAAAAAAACCAAAAAAAAAAACCACACAAATATATTCTTACGTATTGTCTCATTCAATTTTATGTTCCATTTGTTTATTTGTTTATTTATTTATTTTTGCCATTTTTTTTCTAACTGTGAAAAATCAAAACAAGAAAATACAAAATGTAAGGAACATAAACAAAGAAAAAGTGCAGTGAATATATTCTGTGCCACATGTATTTAATTATGTGATGCCAGGGGTGGACTGACCATTTGGAAACTCGGGCACTGCCCGAGGGCCCAGGGTCAGTAGGGGCCCCATGAGATGCCCCTGGTACCTTTTTCATAGGCTTTTTTGAGTTTGGGCAAGGACACAGGGGCCCCATGATCCCTTATTGCCCGGGGGCCCCATGAGTTGTCAGTCCGCCCCTGTGTGATGCTTTTATCACAGTGTACGCCATTGTGTGGGCTTTGTTTACTAACAAATCACGTCTGTTTTTTTTTTATGCTAATTTTGCTTAGTTGTGCAATTAGTGGAAATTTTCGCCACAGGCGCTCCTCCTATCCCTACTGGTAATTTTCCTTTGCTGTACATTAGCGAAAAGGCTGTATAATTGTTGGCTGTATTGGTGCTACGCATTAACTTTTCTGTAGGCACAGCTGGTCGCAGGGGGAGTGTCCATGGATTTGGAGTGCTTGGGATGCAGGAGGGGATCCTGGGGTTATTTATTTATTTAATTTATTGTTTTATTTATTTCATTACTTGGCTAGTAGATGACTAACCTCATCTAGAACTTTCCTTCCCAGCCTGACTGTCCCTTACCCACCCCTTTCATTAATTGGATTTCAGTTCTATTAATTACGGAGGCTCAGCATGTAGACATTCCCAAGGTTAGTCTGCATGTAAAATACAACCTGCCTAGAAATGTCCACTTCTCCAGGCTGATATCTACCCATCAAAGCATTCTGATATTTGTATAACTCCACCCATTGCTTGTATCATAACTGAGAGCTCTTGAGAGGAATACTGGGCCTTTTCAGGAAGGTATGTACAACACCCTGCCGGACCCTCCCACCAGCCATGATCTCCCTGCATTGCATAGAGAAGACCAGAGACCTAATGATAATTTTACTGGGTCTAAAATTAGACATGCAATGAAAACAGAAAAGGTAGGGAAAGTCTCAAACAACAATGCAGACAGAAATATGTTTTTTGGGAGTAGCAGAAGGCTAGATCCCCATCAGTTTTGTTTTTCTTTCTGTGTCCTTGCTGCAGATTTTCCCTCACTTCCTGTCAAGGGAAACTGTCACCATAACTAAGTGAGGGAAAATCTCTTTAGAAGTGCCAGTTAGCTGTATACTATCTTACCACTTTAACCACTTGCCCACCAGAGGATTTACCCCCCTTCCTGACCAGGCCATTTTTTACGATACGGCGCTGCGTTACTGTAACTGACAATTGCACGATCATGCAACTCTGTACATAAATACGTCCTTTTTTCCCACAAATAGAGCTTTCTTTTGGTGGTTTTTGATCGCCTCTGCGTTTTTTATCTTTTGAGCTATAACAAAAAAAGACCGACAATTTTGCAGCCGTTCTGCAAGGGGACAATGAAATCAATTGTTCTCTATGTGCCTTGTTCACACCACAACACTGGTATCACATGCGGAAAGGAATCTGCAACGTGTATAAAAATCATTGAAGCACAGATGTAAACTGATGGAAATTGATGTCTCTGCAAGTGAAATCTGCGTGCCGTTCATCAGTTTTTCTGCATGTATGGTGTGAACGAGGCTAAAGGAGCGCCATTAAAAGCCGATTCTGGCTATGTTCGGCTGTCCAGCCCTCTATCGGGCGAGCTCGCTGATTGCTCAGAGAACCCGATAGTGCGGGGGGATCCCAAGAGAGCGGCGGAATCCCCTCCTGCTGCTTGTACAAGCAATCGGGCAGCTAGTAGCCATTCTGATTGCTTGTACTAGAGAGCCGGCCGTCATCTCTAAAAAATGGTACCAGGGCAGGGGCGGACTGACCATTTGGAAACTTGGGCACTGCCCGAGGGCCCGGGTCAGTAGGGGGCCCCATGAGATGCCCCTGGTACTTTTTTTCATAGGCTTTTTTGAGTTTGGGCAAGGACACAGGGGCCCCATGATCCCCTACTGCCCAGGGGCCCCATGAGTTGTCAGTCCGCCCCTGTACCAGGGTGATGTCTACAGCATCACCATGGTACAACCACGGAAAGTCCAGCACCATATGGTTTGTCGCTGGTCAGGAAGTGACTAATTCTTCATCACTCCCAAAACAAAAAAAAAAGTTATGGCTGGACATACATTTTAAAGCTGAAGTTTTATCTGCCTATTTGATATCTTCCATGGTTCTTCCTTTCCCTTTTCATCAACATGCCAAGGAAAGGTTTCTGTTTTCATTTTACACCCACATGTGATGCTGAGCTTCCATGATTGAAAGAACTGAAATCCCGGCCAGGGACAGTCAGGCTGGAGAGGAACGGGCTAAATGATGCTGGATGTTCTTCAGCCAGGAAATGAGGTGGGCTCTATCTGACTTGCTGCAGGTTCTAATGGACATTGTGTGAAGCTCACAGTGTGCAGATAAATCAGAGTAACTAATTTCAGTCCAGGAGAGGAGCCGGTACAACTGTGCAAGACCGAAGGGGAGGATGGAGCTCAGATTTAGGCTTCATTCACACTTGTGTGATTTGTTATGAGAAGTCTTAGTCTATGCATTTCAATGGGAACCGTTGAAATTTTTTGCAACTTAAAGTCAAAGTAACTTTAAAAAGATTCCTGCACTACTTAGATGCCACATTCATGTGACTTGAGTGCCATAGACTGCAATGTAAACTCTCAAAAGTTGCATGAAAGACTGGTCTTAATGTTTTTAATGCGACAGTTGGTCAACAACCAATGCCAAAGTCAACAGCCAAAGTCGCATGCAAGTTGCACCCATCCAAAGTTGCATCAGAGTTGTAATGTTACATAGTTAGTCTGGCTGAAAAAAGACTAAAGTCCTTCCAGAGTCAATTTCCGGGTAGTTAAAATCCCCCATTATTATCACTGTCCCAGCCCTTGCAGACCTTTCCATCTGTGCAAGGAGCTGGGAAGTGCAAGGAGTCTACACTTCCTCATTAACACTGGGAGGCCTATAACAAACTCCAATGATTACCTTTGTAGTAGGCACCCCCATGTGCAGTTCCACCCATAGCTCTTCAGCCTCATCACACTCTCCATCAACTAGGTCCTCTTTCACACTCGCTCTGAGATCACTTCTCACATAGAGACAGACACCACCACCTTTCCTATTTACTGTCTCTCTGAAAAAGAACCTAGCCAGGAATATTAATGGCCCAGTCATGCGAAGAATGAAGCCAAGATTCAGCAATACCAATTAAATCATAGTTCTCTTCATGCACCAAAGCTTCCAACTCCCCTATTTTGCTTGGCAGACTTCTGGCATTGGTGAACAAACACTTTAATCCATTGACACCTTGTACACACGTATTTTACATATTTTTATTTTCATACAAATGATACCAATTCCACTGGTTGTTTGTAATATGGGAACCTTCTTATCATCTGCCATAGCCCTCTACCCTTGTAAAGTCGCAATGGAAATCACACAATTTTGGAGTGTGATTCACAAGTGTGAATGGAGCCTTAGGGTTTAAAAGGAGACCTTCAACCTGATGACAGGAACTTTTTACCCATCAAAATAAATAATCATTGGATCTATCAGATTGCATTCACACCTAGCTACGTGGGAGCGTCACTTTTTTTGCATGACATGTACTGAAGCCCTTTCACTTAAATGGGCTGTCCTATGTGAAAAAAACGCGCCAAAGGTAGCCCCTGTACCTTTTTTTAGGAGCTGATTTTGGCATTTTTGAACAGTGCATTTTTGTGCTTTTTACAGGTGTTTGGGGTGTCATTCAGAATGAATGCCACCCAAATGCACATTTTTGGCACATTTCAGAAACCTGTGTTTCTGCGTGTGTTTCCAATACCAATGCTCAGGTGTGAATGGGGCCATCGCCTTATGGCCGCTTTGTGTTGACTGTTTTAATAACTCAAAGTTTACAGACTTTCATGCAGCAAAAATAGTGATCTGGCATGTCTGTACACACACTGAAGACATGTATAATAATAATAATAATAATAATAAGAAGAAGAAGAATGTCCCAATGTAGCACAAGTCAGGAGTCACAGTACCTTTGTGAACCATTTCCCGGCATTGAGAGTCTCCAGCAGGTCCCAGGGCAACATGGCGGCGTTGGCGTTAGTCAAGTTGGGATAAAGCTCTTGGACGTTTGTTGTTCTCTTCAAAGTGCCATCATGCATGAGGAACGGGACCCCATCATAGCTGAAAGCGTAAGAAGGCCATGTGTCCATTTACTGAATCTTTTTATCAGCCATATATATTGTAAAGGTTTGGCAACATTTTTTGATTAGCCACAAAACACGTTGATGGTGTGTTTTTAACCTCTTCTCAATAAATATCAATTTTCTTGAAGAATCTACTCAGAAGCACCTCTTTTATTTAAAGGTGCCTCCGCTTACCACACATTGGTTCCATTTCCATTTCGCCTTCCCTTTTACCATTGTTCACCAGACCTGACCACAGCCTAGTGCAGTGCAGGAACCTCCGGAAAACCTCAACAAGCATTAAGTGCGACCGCCCACTCCACAGCGCTGTGGTAGTTCATTGAAACCTACAAACCAACAGCCGCTACGGCTGTCGGGACTTGTAGGCACTCATTCACAGAACTCTTTGAATGAGTGACACTGCCGTGTGGGTGGAGTCCTGCACGGCCGCGCTGTTTTAAAATCTTAGATAGTACGGGGAAACTTCTCCCTGTACTATCGGGGGGGGGGGGGTTAGCGTGGCTGCGGCTATGGGAACACATTACATGTTCCACCCTAAAAACGGGTAGAACATGTAACATCTTCCAAAGGTGAACGTATCCTTTAAGATGACCATCCACTATACTTTCTAATTGTAAAATCTCCTTCACATAGTTAGTCTGGCTGAGAAAAGAAAAGAGTTCATCCAGTTCAACCATAAAAAAAAAAAAAAGAAAAAGTATAATCCTATAGCCACAGTTGAAGGCAAAAAACCCAGCAAAGCATGATCCAATTTGCTTCTGCAGGGGAAAAAAATTCCTTTCTGATCCCTCGAGAGGCAATTGGATATTCCCTGGATCAACTTTACCTATAAATGTTAGTATCCAGTTAAATTTTGTGTATCCAAAAGAGAATCCAGGACTTTTTTAAAACAATCTGAGCTGGCCAGAACCAGCTCTTGAGGGAGTCTTTTCCACATTTTCACAGCTCTTACTGTGAAGAAACCTTTCCTTATTTCTAAATTTCTTTTCCTCCAGACGTAAAGAGTGCCCCCTTGTCCTCTGTGATGACCTCAGGGTGAATAACTCTACACCGAGTTCACTATATGAACCACTGATGTATTTATACATGTTGATCATATCCCCCCTTATGTATTATACATGGGTGAGTATTAAACATGGAGATCATATCCCCCCTTATGTTATGTATTATACATGGAGATCATATCCCCCCTTATGTATTATACATGGAGATCATATCATATCCCCCCCTTATGTATTATACATGGAGATCATATCCCCCTTATGTATTATGGACATATGTATTATACATATCCTCCCTTATGTATTATACATGGAGATATCCCCCTTATATCCCATATCCCCCCTTATGTATATCCCCCCTTATACATGGTGATCATATCCCCCCTTAATCTCCTCTTCTCAACAGAGAATAAATTCAGTTCCTCTAATCTTTCCTCATAGCTGATCTCCATTCCTCTTATCAGTTTGGTTGCCCTTCTCTGTACTTTCTCCAGTTCCCCAATGTTCTTTTTGTGAATTGGTGCCCAAAACTGAACTTCATATTCCAGATGAGGTGTTACTAATGATTTGTACCGGGGTAATATGATATCTCTCTCTGGAGTCTATACCTCTATTAATACAAGATCCTTTAGATCTCAGATCAGCTAGAGTATTTAATGCAAGGGTCAGCCTGATTTAACACAGATTTAATGGATTGTTTAGATTTGTCCTCATGTCACATACAGTGCTGTAAAAAAGTTTTTTTCCCCCTTCCAGATTTTTTTTTTTGCATATTTGTCTCACTTAAGTGATTCAGATCATCAAACAAATTTTAATATTACACAAAGATAACCCGAGTAAATACAAAATGCATTTTTTAAAACAATGATTTCATTTATTAGGGGAAAAAAGCTGTCTAAACCTGTCTGGCCTTATGTGAAAAAGTAAATGCCTCCTAAACCTAATCACTGGTTGTGCCACCCATGGTGGCAACACCTGCAATCAAACATTTGCAATAACTGGCAATGAGTCTTTCACATCGCTGTGGAGGAATTTTGGCCCACTCTTTGCAGAATTGTTTTAATTCAGCCACATTGGAGGGTTTTCGAGCATGAATGGCCTGTTTAAGGTCATGCCACAGCATCTCAATTAGATATAAGTCCTGTGACAGGAGTGACTTTGGGGGGTGGGGGGACCTCTGTATCATCTCCCCAAATCATTATGTTTAACCCACCCTGTGCCTGTTTACGGGTACAGGGTGTGTATGTGAATGTCTGAGTCTTGTGTATAGTGTGTGTTCCTTTGTTCTCGGTCACATGGTTGTCCATTGCCTGTTTGCCATGTGCTACCCCCCATTGTGTTGTGTCTTCCTGTCCAGCAAACTATTATGGGATGTACTGTTTGTGTATTGGGGTGGGGGTTGGTCAATGTCCTTTGCCATGTGCTTCGTCCCATTGTTCTGTGTCTTGGTGGGATGGGGAGGGGTGATGATGTATTTCCTGTTCTTGGTTGTGTTTCCCCGCCCTCTGTATATATCCTGTGTTTTGTGTTAAAATAAACTGAGTTGGCTTCCTGTTTTAAGAAGATCTGGGTGCTGTCTTTTTCCTGAGGGATTTCAAGGGTGTGGTCTGTGGATGGTGTTCGGACAGGGGAAGCTGTGGTATAACGGAAAAACTCAGTGCGGTCTGGGTTCCGGTTCCCTTACAAGTCCGGACTTTGACTAGGTCTTTCCAAAACCTCAATTTTCTTTTCTTTGAGGCTTTCAGAGAAGGACTTTCTGGTGTGTTTCGGATCATTGTTGTGCTGCATAACTCAAGTGCACTTGAGGTCATGAACTGATGGCCGGCCATTCTCCTTCAGGATTTTCTGAGCCCAGGATTCATGGTTCCATCATTTATGGCAAGTCGTTCAGGTCCTGAAGCTGCAAAGCAGCCCCAGACTATCACACTACCACCACCATGTTTGACTGCTGGGATGATGTTCTTTCTATGAAATGCTGTGTTGGTTTTTAGATGTAACCGGATGCATACCTTCCAAAACTTTACATTTTTGTCTCATTAATCCATAGAATATTTACCCAAAAGCCTTGGAGATAATCAAGATGTTTGGAAAATGTGAGAGAAGCCTTTGTGTTCTTTTTTGGTCAGCAGTGGCTTTCGCCTTGGAACTCTCCCATGGCTGCCATTTTTGCCCAGTCTCTATCTTATTGTTGAATCATGAACAATGACCTTAACTGAGGCAAGTGAGGCCTGCAGTTCTTTACATGTTCTTCTGGGTTCTTTTATGACCTCCTGGATGAGTCGTCGTTGTGCTCTTGGATTAAATTTGGTAGGCTGGCCACTCCTGGCAAGGGTCACTACTATTCCAAGCTTCTCCATTTGTGGATAATGGCTCTCACCATGGTTTGTTGGAGTTCCAAAGCCTTCGAAAATACTTTGCAACCCTTTCCAGACTGATACATGTCAATTACTTTGTTTCTCATCTGTTCTTGAATTTCTTTAGATTGCGGCATGTTGCTTTTTGAGATTTTTTAACATGCTTCACTTTGTTAGACAGCTTCTATTTGAGTGATTTCTTGAGTCAACAAATCTGGAAGTAATCAGGCCTGCATGTGGCAAGTAAAATTTAACTCAGCTTTCCAAAACTTGTGGTATGATTTAGCAAGGTGTGTGTGTGTGGGGGGGGGGGGGGACAATTTCTTTTTCACATAGGGCCAGGCAGATTTGGATAGCCTTTTTCCCTTAATGAATAAAATAATCATTTAAAATCTGCATTTTGTATTTACTATATATTTGTATAGTATTAAAATTTGTTTGATGATCTGAACCTTAGATTGTTGATTCTCCAACCAGGAGCCTCGAGGTCCTTAATATTAATTTGATGATCCAGGAGCACCTAACCCCAGCACAATAGCAAACCAAATAAAAAATGATTAGTTATGGACTCAACCAGGATATTGGGTTTGTTTTTGTATATGGTTATATTAAATAATGTATAATAAATAGAAGGGCTGGTGGTCAAAGGCACTAAAGGGAACACACTCTGCATCATGTATATGTATATATCTGCCACTCAAAAAAGGTCACCATGGATGGAAAAGTAGTTGGAATCCCACGTGTAAGTGTATGTAATAATAGCAGTCAGACATCACTAATGTGATCAATCACTGTTTTTGGTAGAAATGATATTTCTACATGGCAAATAATTTACTAGCAGGTGTAGTAGAGTAATAGAAATCCAACAGACCCAACGGTCATGACATGCATGCTGCCGATTCTGTGTAATTGAATCACTAATTGAAAGGGGCATGTTCAAAATAATAAAGAAGTGCAGAAAATGATAGGCTGCTCAGCTAAAAATGATCGCAAATGCTTTAAAATGGCAACCAAAACCTGAAAGACATGGAAGAAAGCGAAAAACTACCATTCAAATGGATAGAAGAATAGCCAAAACGGAAAGGACTCAGCCAACAATCAGCTCCAGGAAGATCAAAGAAGGTGTAAAGTTACCTGTGAGTACTGTTACAATTAGAAGACGCCTATGTGAAGCCAAGCTATCTGCAAGAAGCCCCCGCAAAGTCCCACTGTTGAAAAAAAGACGTGCGCTGAAGAGGTTACAATTTGCCAAAGAGCACATTGACTGGCCTAAAGAGAAATGGCGCAACATTTTGTGGACTGATGAAAGTAAGATTGTTCTTTTTGGGTCTAGTGGCCGGAGACAGTTTGTCAGACGGCCCCCAAACACTGAATTCAAGCCACAGTACACTGTGAAGACCGTGAAGCATGGTGGTGCAAGCATCATGATATGGGGATGTTTCTCATACTATGGTGTTGAGCCTATTTATCGCATACCAGGGATCATGGATCAGCTTTAATACATCAGAATACTTGAAGAGGTCATGCTGCCTTATGCTGAAGAGGAAATGCCCTTGAAATGGGTGTTCCAACAAGACAACGACCCCAAACACACCAGTAAACGTGCAACATCTTGGTTCCAG